TTTATAAAATAATTGTATACTTAATATTTATGAGAAATGAATTTTTCTGTTAATAAACTAATTCTGATAGTTGATTGTATTCAGGTTTTTTTCTATGAAAGTGGCGAATAATTTATAGTTGGAGTTCTAATCACGGTATCATTAAGTTAAAAATCAATATATCAGTTTCACAATTTTCAGATAACGATTTATGGCTTTGGACGTTAAATGAATAAATCGTGCATCGATAAAAAGTTCTTCGCATGTAAAACATAATTCTTTGCGTTTCGTGATATTTGGATGTTCGTAACGTCCAATTAGCCTTCTACAAATTATCGCGGTCTATAATTAAGAGAAATCTTTGCATAATGAAGCAACTTTCTTATAGATATAGATGGTATACGTTGGTTAAATCGGCTACGTTTTCGACAGTGAGTTTCAGCTTTTGTTTCCTTCGTTTCATCGCCGTATATTCGTACATTTGGTTTCCATTTATGGAGCTCCTGATTTGTTAAGTACACGCGTGGCTTATCGTCACGCGTCGTCTACTCCTTTGTGTTCCATTCCTGTATCCTGGTAGATTCAAGGTCTTACATGCCATGACGATCGGTGCATTGCTTTTGTGGAAACGATGGAACAACCATACTGTAAGTGGTACGCGATGATTTGTTTGTAAAAGTGATCTTTCAATACTTTTGGAACAATGTACATCTGATTAGAAAGTACTCGCGTTTCCCAGAATTTCACAAGTAGCTCCACGATCGAATATCTTCCTGAAAACATACTTTCCAAACAAACAGGGTAATTGCTTCAGAAGCCTTGAGAAACCGAAACAGGAAGCCATTCCATTCTAATCAAGGACGTACTGTACTCGAATCACTTTTAACCCGATGTTTTAATTCGATATGTATCTAATTGTTTAATAGAGACTTTGTGTTTTACTGAGAAAATGATGACGCTATACTTTCGTGTTACTACTAAAATTTTGATTATAGTTTATCATGGTTTTTCACTTTTAGATGAATTTAAAAAACACTACGGAACATTCGAAACACTGATTATTACACTGCGTATTTTTATACATCTGTGGGAAATTTGAAGATGCGACAATGCACAGGACTAATGTAATACACAAACACATATAAAAATAGGCAAACTGTAGTACTCTTTATAATATTTAATTAGTAAAAAAAATTGCCTACTCAAGTCCTAGTTTTTTAATTATTGGATCAGTGCAAAAGTTCATGCCCGATTTCAATGAATGTCGCTAAATTATTTGTCTACAAGCCACGTTTGTTGTTACATGTACAAACTTCATAGCGGATGAAAAAGTTCCGGGAAGATGTAACAGTGGAAACTGCTGTAAAAAACATTCAGGACATTTACCAAGATGATGCACCAGTTCTTCGTGAGGAAGAATGGTTTGCAAAATTCGGGCAATTTCCAATTAGATGACGAGCCACGCTCTGTCCGATCTTCTTTTATAGATGACGACGTTACGTTTAATTCGTTGCAAAATGATCATCGAATTTCAACTGAAGAAGTTTCAGAGAAACTTTTTTTATTGTACGAAGAGCTAGCAGGTGCACAGTCTTGGTAAACGTCCTGAATGTGTCTTACAGCAGTTCCCACTCATTACATCAGTTCCCATTCTTAAAGAATGACATGACGCAAATGAACCCTTTCTCTGTTCATTTTCGAAATCTTTTCCACAATATAGAAACTGTCAGAACACAGATGTCTGCTGGAAGTTGAAGTAACAATTGAATTTTGCTATGAAGTTTGTACATGCAACAGCAGATGTGATTTGCAGAGAAATAATTTAGTGACATCCATTAGAATCGGACACGAACCTTTGCACTGACCCAATAAATGCACAAAAATCTGAATTTGCATGAACAGCCACGGTCTACCAATCAAGTATCCTGATATTAAAATTAACAAACTTTCCAAAAGCTGATCAATTTATCTTCTGTGTGTCACAATTATTAATGTTCGTATCATGGATGACGCATTGATCTAAATTTACCTATATATGCATATGATACCATGAGCGCCTTTTCATTCTGTTTTTCAACAACTCGAGCTACTCTGTTGCTCGATCCATATGCAAACACATGGAAATCGTGTCAAGAGCACGACATAGAAAAAGAACAAATGTCGATAGCTTGATGACGCTATAGTTAATCTTTTTGCAAAATTCGCGCAGTATTCATCCTACATACACGAAGCAATTACGTTTCACGACGGTCGCGTCAGCAATTTTCTGGGTGCTTCGAACCATGGACTCGTGATCGTATCACGTTAATTATCTCGATCCATCGTCCACTATCAAATCCGTGAAGAAGCATAAATTCGAGAATCTTCGTCGTCTTCCTTCTAGGTAGAAAATCCTGTTACGTAACTCAACTTGTCTGTACGGGCAAAGAACCAGGATGTCAAACGACGGTAATCACGGAACAAAATAACAGCCACGCCACGAAAATTCCAGCTTTTATAATCGCACGAGAAAACGATCACCGGTGGCATAGCAATTACAGAAGTCTCGTATAAAATTAATATCTCGACCGGAAATGGATCGTATTTCTACAATAATGTTGCATAAACGCTTTTACGAATCGATCTGAATGCCAGACGTTTTTTCAACATTTGTTAAAAATCCTACGATGCAATGCAAGCTGGGAAATGAAAGAACATTGACAAAGTGGTATATAACTTCCGTCAGACGAACAGTCAGTCTCTAACGCGTGAAAGTGGCTATTAACCTTATAATATTAACACTTGTACTCGTATTAACCTTGTGCCGCACATACTAAATTATCGTTTTTCTTTAAACTCTCTTCAAACGCTCCATTTTCGTCTGCGTTTTATTCTCTACGAACACTTTCATAGAGATTCAACATGGCACGTGACCGATTCGCACGAGAGACTATTAAACTGTGCTACGGTTTACCTTTTAGTGAAAACGGTTCGCTCTACATTACATATACATATACATGTTATATGTATTACACATACATATATATATATTACGTATACATATCACAGCGAATATCTTGAAACTTAGCACAACATAGTCTAACTTAGTTTAACTTTCCTTTGTATTTCCGGCTCAAGTCGTTACAATTAAAACACGAGCTACCTTGCACTACTAGATGCACGACTAGCATACGAAAATCGAGCTCTGCTCGCGACATACCTATTACTTGGACTTAAATCTCATTGTCAACGATACTCGTGCGCCGTTTCTTTTCCAGCTGTACGGTGGAACGAGTTAAAAGATAGCGAAACACAACATAGCATGACATTACAGCCTAGGTACACGTGAAACGTAGAAGAAAACACTTGTTCCCCATTGTTCACCGATGGCACCTCGCTGAGGTAAGATCACCTACGGTCTCCCTCTACTTTCCTTCCGCCTATCTTTCGCCTTACAACCTTACTAGGAGCCATCGAAGGTCGACGTAAAGCGACGCTGGCGCTTCGTTCATGGAATGCAAAAGAACGAGCGATTCTGCTCGCTCAGCCGTTTTGTCATTGGTCAAAATAGAACGGATGAAAAACGCGTGAATGAGGGGAAAGAAAAAACGGAAGCAGGCTGTCCGCTTTTGAAAACAACGACTGCCAGAATAGATTTGTTCATAGGTTCGTGCCTGTTTGTAGGCAGGCGGCCTCTTGTTTGTCCGCAACGCGCGGCCATTCAAAGAAAGCGAAGATTATGAATCTTAAGTAGTGGTGTGGTTTCTCGTAAAAAGGTGACGCTGTTGTTTTCCTTCATTTCTCCGTTTCTTTTTCAAGTTAGGGATAGTTACGACTGGGATAACGTGTTGACTTAAAATGTGCGAAACGTCTACCAGCGGGATAACTTGGTATAACATTTGTCTATGAGTTTAGTAGCGCCCATAGCTGCTGCTGCTTTTCTCTGCACGTTAACCGTGACGATAATAGAGACAAAACTGGTTCGTACATAGGTTGCCTCGTTTTTCGAAACCGATGCTTGCGAAGTTAATTATAGACCAATAATCTTGGTCGATTTAAAAACTGCCTCGTGTGTAAGTTTACCACTGCATAGCGGGGCGCTCGTAACAGAAATAGCACGATGTTTTCAACGACAATGATCGCTTACATGTCTCGAATGGAAATCGGAGAAAAATGTTTCCGCTCTGGTCCATTCGCTACATAATTTATTCGTTATCTGCCACGAACGCAACCACGGATCGATCGTGCCCATGCGTGCAACGGACAGAAAGATAATGGGTAAAAACGACGACTAACAAATTCCAGGCAATAAGCCGGATAATTTAAGGCTGGAACCTTTTCGACCGGTTTCTCTATCTCTCGCTCTCCCTCTCTCTTTTCTCTCTCTCTCTCTCTCTTTCTCTCTGCTTTAATACGGCCAGGCGTAGAACCGAAAAAGAAACCACCAGTAACGCTCGATGTCGTTGAGTGATTCTTTCATTTTCCAGCGAATTGACACCTCGGTAACGTTGTTGGCGTATGGACACAACGAGTCGAAAGTTTCCTAAGCGGACGTTAAAGTATGACGAGAGTAACCGAACGCGACGTTTCGCGATTTATACGCGGCCGTTGATAATAATCGATCGCCAAAAATGGAATCGTTTGCGTAAATATCGGCAGCGTTCTTACGCTCGAGGCCAGCCAATTAGCTGATCGACCGCTACGCGTCCGTTTTTTCACACTGTTTCGTTACACTTCACCGTCCACCGTCGATAACGGCCTCTAATTCGCATCAATAGCAATTCCTGCGAAAAATGAAAACCAGTTCCCAGCTAGCATATCCGTTACGCTAAATCGCGTTTTAAAAGCATCGTTAGACCGAATCATCTTCCCAACGAATCGATCAAAACGACATGTTAATTGCACGTGCGCTATTGTCCATAAGCATTCGAAGACTTGGTGCAATTCGGTCAAAAAATTAATATTCTTGTCATCTGTGTTTTTACTGAATGTAACTGAACAGATAGTATCCTAGAGAAAAAATGATTTTTTTTATTCGATATCATAGAGACTACTCTAGTTCGGACATTTTATGTACATTTGCTTATTACTATACATTCTATATATTTTTTTAACTTAATTGCTATATAATACAGTTACTATATTTTTTTGCTAGATATTAATTTGCAAGTGCCTAAATACTTATGTATGATCGTCTATACGAGGAATATGATAATAAAAAAATAGAATAACTATGTCATTTATAAAACGTAGAACTCGTGCTGTACCATTTTTCGCTTAACGGTTCGAACGCTTTTTGCCGCTTTTAACACATTACTTTGAAGTGGTACATGATGTTGCGAGTTTCTTTGAACTTTGCGTGTGGCGTGTGGATAGTGTTGAATGCGATTCGTTGTACGCTTGTTGGACAACTGTAAAAACAGTGGATTCGAGAGCGATAGATACGAAATGAAATGCGAAAGATAATCGATAAAGCTGTTAAGTAAGTTTACAGTTCTGGAGAACGGTTAATGCGCGTCTTAATAACTGTTATTTAAACCAAGGCCTACCTTTTTGTCCTCTGGTTAAGGTGTCGTTAAAACAGTCACGAATACTGGCGGCGGTACTGTCACAAAAGCTCCGTACGAATATCCATGATTCCAGTCGAAGGTTCATTCCAGAGGTCGCGGACCTTAACGGTCACCCGCCTTTTTGGGAACGATTCTTCTTGCCGCGTATTGCTGTTTAGTTGCCACTCTATCCTCATTTTCCATTTTCTACAGTTACTATCTTGCATCGCTGGAAAAAGTATGAAGAATGTTCTTTATTCTGTAAGTTGGTCGTAAATCAATAGGAAAGTAACTTCGAATTGTGTGAGAAGAATGTAAATGAAAAAATTTCAATGTTCATACCTGTTCATATTGAACCTAAAGAGTGAATAAAAGAATCAATAAAGGTATAACTATAATTAAGAATAGAACTATAAGTATAACGTATATGTGTATTCTGATCTGGGTCTTTGCTTCCATGGTATTACAATACAATAGAATCGATAGAGAGCACGTTCATATATTTATAGCAAAGGATTACCAAAAGTAAGTTATAGCTCTAGCTAAAGGCTACAAGGAACATAAATAGAAATCTATTTATTAGTTCCTTTGTTCCTAGATCTTATAACCCAAAACATAATTTATATTCAAGGGCACAATAATATGGGTCCCTCATTATTTAGAATATTTTTGTTTCACTAAATTCTATTTTTTGCGTAATAGCGGTCTCCAGGTCACGGATGTACATAAATAAAGATGTAGAGTTTTTCTTCAAGTAATTACTTCTACAATACCCATACATGTAAATAGGTATTAGATCATTCGATAATTTCATGCCAATTTAGAAGTACACATTGCCAATAATAATTGGAATCCGATAATTTCTGCACTCTAGCCTCCCATAATTCTTTCGATTATTCATACATTCTATCAGAATGTCTTTTAGGGGCATAAATTTCCGTTTTGAGAAGGAATTCAGGTAGCTCTTTTTTTTTATAGTCGATACGTTGCACTGTGTTTCGACGTTTCGTGTACGTTTCTATCGATTTGAACAAAATTTCAATTTAAACATTTCCTCGTCTACTCGTTTCTGGAAACTTTCCAGAGGAAAAGGTAGGACTTTTGCGAGAAAACCGACGAGATCTCGCTCTTATTCGTTAGGCATGGCCCGCGGACTAATTACAGCGTTACTAATCGCAGAGAGGATCCTGGGCGTCGCGCAACGACCGCTCGACTTTCTTCTTACGGGCGAAATTGTTGTGACGTTCGAGCGACGGCCGATATTAATTTTAAACGCCAATCCGCGCATCATCCATAAATGGTGTGTCGTGATTCAGCCGGTCTGGTTTCGAGCCAACGCACGCAGAGAACTTGACCTGCTCGTCTTTCCGTCACAACTTCTTTCCTCGTATCCGATGGACTTTCTCGCTGGAGCGATCGCCTAACGTTTTTTTACCCGTTGCCGCTCGGCTCTGCTCGAAAATTAACGAAAGCGTGGAAATCGTTACAACGATCGCAGCTAATGACCGCCTGCCACGGACGTCATTATTGTTGTACCGATCTCGCCGAACCGTCCTCA